CATTAAAAAACTATTTCGGATACATGTGCTCCGAGAACCTATCTGCTGCCCAGAGACCGACGCGGGCAGAGTCCTGCGGGCAGGAACGGGGGAGGGACGGCCAGCTCGCGGGGACCTTACCGCCAGCAAGCCCTTGCTGCAGGGGGCAGTGACCAGAGAACTGTCCAGCTGCACGTGACACCCACAACTAGGGACGGACACCCTGGCACCTTCTGCCCTGTTTAGTTCTGGTACTTTCTTGAAAAATCAGCGAAGAGCAGTTAATCTTATTATCCCAGGAAGGAGGGTCCACGGACATTCTTAAGCCTGTCTCCACCAACCTTATAATCTCCCACTCAATCCACCAGACAGCTGAGTCTCATCTTAGCTCTGGGCCCATCCCCTACCCCAGGAACACAAAGGCAGCTCTGGGTGTGAGGTCCCCGGGCTCCAGATGCTTCGGCACGAGCCATCCGCACAGCTCGGCAGGGCCCACGGCATGAGGGAGAAGAACGCAGGGATGTCACGGAGACAGGGTCTCAGGGGAACGACTCCGTTCCAAAGCTGCAAGTGTCTCCGGGACGCCACAACCCACAATCTTCCAGCCCGCCCGGGGTCAAGTGGCTCGGGGCAGGTCCACAGTGTCCATCAAATTCCCACTAACCCTGGAGAGCCTGGTTTCCTCTCCTGTTTTCCTTTTCTCAGTTTTGAGGGGAGAGAGTTAAACGCCGAATGGCGGTCACGGAGGTCTGCGGTGGGGAAGGAGGGATGCACCGTGAATATTAAGCACCTACATGAGGTGGAGACTCTAATTCCGTGCCCAAAACATCATTCACAATTCTAATTCGCAGCCATTAATAGGGCGCTGAGAGCAAAGGGGTCATTTTCATCTTGTCTCTACTGCAGGGGAACGGCAGCCGTGAAATTCCCATCAGAGGTGTGAAGGTCACACACACACGCTCATCTCGTGTCCATGAGGCTCCGGGAAGAGCGGGGGTCGCCCCTCGCTCCTCCTGCCCCGGGAGGGAACAGGGCAACTTCATGGCGCTGACTGCAGCTTCTGCTTACACACCGTGTGCGCAAAACACGGAGGGTCATTCGTGGGTTGGAGTCCAGCCCCCAAGAGAGATATTCGAGTCCTGGCCCCCGACACCTGTGACGTGGCCTCATCTGGAAAGAGGGTCTTGGCAGATGTGATGAAAATGAGGTCAGACTAGAGAACGGGGGGATGAGGGGGGTACCCTACACCCAGTGACTGCCATTCCCACGAGAAGAGGGAAATCTGGACACGGAGACAAGGGCACCGGAAGAATGTCGTCGCATGAAAGAGACAGAGATTGCAGTGATGGGTCTATGAGCCAAGGAGCCGAAGGTTGTCAGCAGCCAGGCACAGAAGAGACTCCCGCTCAGAGCCTTCCAGAAAGAACCAACCTCATCAACACCTTCATCTTAGGCTTCTGGTCTGCACAGCCGCGACAGTGAAGTTCTGCTGATTTAAGCCACTTGGTTTGTAGTAATTTGTCAGGGCGACCTTAGGACTCAGACACACACACGCACACACATGCACATGCACGGCTGAACGGATATCCGCCTGCACAAAATTTTACTCCTTGGATTCCTCTGATGGACTCACTGGCTCCCTGCTGAGGTGCCCACTTTTGCATTGCTAATTTACTAATTAAAAAAAAATACACAAAATATTTAAATCCGTCCCTCATTTACACTGCATCTTTAAAATTACCGAAATCGTGTTGCTCAACTCTCTCTACTACGAGGATAAAATACCAGCGAGAAGGAATCACACGACTAAAACACAACAGCTGTTATCCTCGGAAACCCAGCTATGACCAGTCTGATGCAAAGTACGTTCCGGCAAACGTCTGGGGTCATCCCACGCCAGAGTTTTCTACGGAGAGCACACTCGTCTGAAAACAGCAGGCCTTCGCCACCTCACACAGCCAGCAACCTACAGATCCTGTGACAGGTCAGAGTGACGCTAAAGGACACTGCACGCTAATTAAATCAAGGGACAACCAGGTGGGAACAGGAGAGCTCCAGGAGGGCGCCAGGTGCGCAAGCAGACCTCACAGTCCCGGTAGCAACAATCCTCGTGCCTGAAGTCACTGCCCACGTGCGGCCAGAGGCAGCTGGTCCCCCGGCAGCTGCGAGAGGAAAAGGAGGACAAGCCAGAAGCAGTGGACAGGCCTTGCAGCTCACCTGAAGGGCACCACCCCCAGCGTGGCGATGGAGATGCCCGTCAGCAGCTAGCTGCCCTCGAACCTGACCTCTGGCCTCTGTGAGCTGTGGCAGGTGGGGCTGAGCTCTAATCGGCTTCACCTGCCGTCCACACTAGTGGGACGGGATTCCCGTTGCTCGGACGTGCTCCGTAAACCTGGGCAACGACTCTGGTACGTCCCGACTCCAGAACGTTCTGAGTGTAAAGCTTCTCAATGAGGCGGGCACAGGCACTCGGTCGATGTTAACACATCCGACAAGAACTATAATTACTTTCCAGGTACAGACTCCCTGGTGGTGAGAAAGAACTTCAGTGTGGCCAGACGGCGAGAGACCCAGGCTTTCCTTGTTCGTGTCCTTTCAGAAACAACCGGATTCTCCTGCAGCTCTGAAACTCGCCCAGGCAAGTGGACAGGAAGTGGGGGGCGGCTCCCTGGTGCCCCTGCACGAGAGGCCCAGGCAAGTGGACAGGAAGTGGGGGGTGGCTCCCTGGTCCCCCTGCATGACAGGCAAGGACATGGCCACATGCCTGGTTCCACGAAGGCACATGCAGACAGCTCCTGGGAAACAAAGATTCACTGGGGCTTATGGGGTTTCCAGGCACAGGGGGGCACCTGCCCCAGTTCTTTCTGCAGCCAGAGACCCTGACACAGGTCCACTGGGGCCCACCTGGCAGCCCCACCCATGACCTGGGGTCACATGAGAAGACAGGTGGGCTGAGCCCTTGAGAAAAGACCACTGACAGTCCTTCCCCTGGTCCGGGGGGCCCTGGGCACAGGCGCCACTGGAGGAGGGGAGGGGGGATGAGACTTTGCCGACGAGGACAGGGACGGCCTTTGGTGTAGTCACACGCTCTCCTTTAAAATAACGTACTTTTATAACTGTATGCGATGCCATGAAATTTTAGTAGAGTAAAAGGTGTCAAGGAAGTGGGTTCATTAGAGACCACGGTTTAAGTCACCCCACTGGGTACAAATTTTACTTTTGAAGTATGAACGTTCAAGAAAAATGCCTTCATGCTCATCAAAACATAAGGGCCCCCGGCAAAGAAACCACAGGCCCAAATGGGATGGAACAGACCGAAAATAGCAAGCGTGAAAACAGCAGAAGCTACGATAATGACAAAACAGCACCGCGTGAGGACGAGAACGGCATCCACAGCTCGGGGACTGGTGTCCCAACGCCAGAGCACTGGCAGCAAAACCAGGGGCCCACACCACGTCACCGGCGGCCCCTGGTGGAGATCAGAGCATCTGAGGAGACCGCGAGTGGATTTACTGGAGGAGGGGACCATCTGAGGTCAGGTCAGCCAGTCCCTCGGCATCTGGGGTCACCGAGCTATACAACGCCTAACCCTGACGAGTGAGTAGAAAGCCCGAGAAAAATGCTCGGACTCTCCAGGTGGAATCAAAACGACCATGGCCACATTCCACGCTCGGATACCAAGGAACAAATCCAACACCAGCACGACTCAGGCACAGGTCCCAGGAAAGACGTCAGAAAGACCTGGAACCTTCTCTCCTCCCTGCACCGCCCGCCCGCCCCCCCGCCGACCCCTGTCTCCAAACCATGCCATCTTCTAGCAGGTATATACGTTTTCCATCGGATAGACACCCTGCTTCCCTTCGATCCCCGCCCAGGAGCCTCCACGACCCATCTCCCTAAACCCCCCTCTCCACACGGGTAACGGAAAAGCGGGCCTTTCCCTGAGGTGACCACCACGAGGCTGTGATGACAGGGTTGCAAAATTCTGCACAGTGACGGCAGAGCCCTGAAGGGCCCCAGAACGCCAGCCTTCCAGACTCTTCTGAATGGTTACACGGGATCCAGGACAAGAGTTAAATGCTAGAACAGGTGTTACAGGAAACATGGGAAGCTACTCAGGACTACTGCTAAGAAGACATCTAAGGGACAAAACAGGGTGAAATGTTTAACTGAAATAAAAGGATGAAATGAAACAAAATCGGATGATACACAGAACGAGGAGGCAAGGGAACACTACAGTGCGAAGTTGTGTCTCTCCTCTCTCTTCCAACAAGACAAGTTCTGCCATGAAGAAAATGTATAGTTACCTGCGTCCATATCTGCAAAGAATGGAACAGCCAGTAAGAAAAAGAAGGAACCAGAAATTCAGTGTCTCAGAGTTGGATTTTAAAAGGTTACACGGAGAGAAAATATAACTCAGAAAACTTCCTGTGAACTCTACGTGGATTAAAGAACACAGGGATTACGTGGCTTCCTGTCACTGCCTTAACTCTACTTAAAGCAAAAAATAAAATGTGAACATGTTAACTGAAGAAGCAAAAGCCTAATGGCAAAAGAAATCTCTTACTCTCATGCAAAATGATTCTTAAATGTTCAGAATACAATATATGGGGGAAACATACCCAAACATACGGTGGTGGTAACCTGAGAGGCTCCTATCTACCACTAGGTAACAGTACGTGCAGATTATGTGCAAACTTAGTATCCGGAACAGGCAAACGTCCGAGTCACGTTTAAAGGGGTGACCCTGGATTAACATTTGAAACACCAGGACTGCTAGATAAGAAATATATTGAACAGCATTTCAAGGCTCTACTCTACGGCTCCAAATGCCAAAGAGAGTATCATCAGTTAGCTAAAAATACTACAAAAGAAACAACATACCTAAGGACTTTCACTGCCTGGTATTTTATTCTTTCTCAAAAAGTGTGATGCATCATAGTAACGGTTTAGAATACGCTACAGAAAACTTTCGTAAGCTAAACGCTCCTGAGCTTGACGTGGCCTGCCACCCAGCGTACCTTCGGGAGACTCCTCCTGGACGTATGTGCCGGTCAGATACCGGTGCACCAGGGCCGACTTTCCGCTGGCCAGGTTACCCACGATTCCCTGAAACAAAGAATCGGACGACCGTTCAGTATCATTACATCACTCTGCTCGTCGATCTGCAAACAGGGGGAGGGGAAAACGTAAGTCTGAGCGTGACCATAGGCAAGCAGCGGCTGGAGGGCCCGAACCCGGCTCATTAAATTCTCCTCCACAAGTGGAAGAGATTCCCGTGCCCTCCGTTTGCACCTCCTGCTCATCAGCCTTGCCGGCTCAGAGGGCGTCAACGCCGTGTGAACCCACAGACAGCGGCCTTCTTCCGACACCGTGTGCCGCGGGTCTATTGGGAGAGCGTAGGCTGAGTCGGCCCATCGACATGGACTGCGCACCCTCACCGTCCCGGGCGGGGTTTGCTGTGTCGAACGGGGCGCGGTCCAGGACAGGGTAAAATGGGAGTGAGAAGGGTATTCTGGTACATTCCACCAGACTCGGGGGGTGGTTCTGGAGCCAGGCCAGCTGAGAAACATCAAGAAAGGACGGTGTGGGGGAGGGGCTGCAGGGGTTCGGCCCATGGTCAAGGCAGCAGAGGGGTCCAGACTGGGTTAAAAATGCCCATCGAGGGGCACCTGGGTGGCGCAGTCGGTTGAGCGTCCGACTTCAGCCAGGTCACGATCTCGCGGTCCGGGAGTTCGAGCCCCGCGTCGGGCTCTGGGCTGATGGCTCAGAGCCTGGAGCCTGTTTCCGATTCTGTGTCTCCCTCTCTCTCTGCCCCTCCCCCGTTCATGCTCTGTCTCTCTCTGTCCCAAAAATAAATAAGCGTTGAAAAAAAAAAAAAAAATTAAAAAAAAAAAATGCCCATCGAGAGTCAGGAGGGCCACTGTTCTGGCAAGGCAGCAGGCTTGCCAGACAAGACATGGACTTGAGGGCAGCCGGCCCCTTGGGAAGGCTTCCCTTCGCCTGTGCTGGGGACCTCACGCCCTCTGCCTTCTCTGCAAGCAGCCCATCAGCGACCCCCCTCCTGTACTGTACCTTCCCCACCAGATCTCTGCTCTCTGCGTTTAAGCACGCCCAAATCAATTCTTTCAGAAACACAAAACCAGAGCCCTGCCTCTGGACGCAGGTGGCCTCCTACGAGCCTGCCTCCCCTTTCCCACCAGGGCCAGGCTCACAGCTCACTCCCACCCTCCTGGTCCCGCCCTTGACCCTCACAATGTCAAGTGCTGATCCAAGAGCCACAGGGACGCTGGCCCTGAGGTCAGAGATGACCTCATTCCTAAAAGCGCTAGCCTCCCTCTTGCTCCTGACCCAGCCCATCACCGGAAGCCACAGACCAGACGCGCTTTCTCCAAACTTCCTGCCGGAGCATCCTCCTGGAATTCCTGCTAAGCCCACGTGAGCACTCTCCAGGTCTCCTGGTTTCTTCCAGAGTCTCGACTCTCGGGCCCGGTGTGCCTGGCCACGTCCCGCCCTCCCGGACCAACCTGCTGTTCCCAAATCTCGTTCTCCAGCCCCCCCACCAGTCGTCCGCATGCACCCCACGCCACCCAAGCTGGTGCTCGAACCCCAGCACGTCCAGATCGCGCGTTCTCGCCCCGGTTTGCTCGTCACCCTCTATGGCCACACCTCACCAGGCTTCTCAAACCGGAAACGTGGAAACCATCCCAGATTCCCGTGGAGCCCTGGTGCTCCTAAGCACTTTCCCAGTCATACTGGGTCACGGGGCAGATGCTAGCTGGTCTGTCTACAGGCTCCCCCCTTCACCCCAGGAATAGCAGAGAGACTCCTGGAAACTGCCTCGCCCTGACAGGACTTGCTATCTGTCTCCAGACACCTGGACCTTTCCTGAAATACTACTCCTGCTCACTGCTCAGCAAGCGGCTCAGAGGTCACCTCCTCTGAGAAGCCTTCCTAAAGCACAGCCTCAACCGGGAACCTCTCCTCAAAGCCCCCTTAGTGCCCTCCTCACAACGCCGTCTCGTGACCTCTGTGTTACCAGCATCACTATGCGGGTCTGTCGGAGATGCTGACAATTTCCGAAGGGCAGGGTCTGGGTCTCTGTCCCCTGGGTCCCAGTGCTACACCCGGCCCGGGAGCACCCGCTCCGCAACGGCACCCGCTGCGTAAATGAGCAAACGAGTGAGCGGCTCCAGCACCAGGACAGAGATGCTTTGTTACCGGGGCACAAAGCCATGTGACGTGGGCAGACCTGAAATAGAGATGTTTCCCTTTCCGACGGGACTCCTGTCTTCTTTTTACCTGGGGCCTCTATAAGCCGAGGATCTCTACCTATTAATTATTCTTTTGCTCAAGGGCACCTGCTGTTTGTCAGCTCATGCTGAGAAAAGCCAAACCAGCGTGCCGCAAAATTAAATTTTTAATTAAGATTAGACTTTCTCTTTCCCGAGGAGGAAAATGCTCAAAATCAAACACTGCTCGGTCTGTGCTTCCTGCGTGTGGCACATTCCTTCCTCCTCACACAACAGTGCTCTGCAGAGAATGAGCTTCCCCTTCAGGAGAAAAGTCATTGAGTCTTGGGGGTGGCGGGGGGAAGGCCGCCCCGGAGACTGGCACCCCATGGGCCTTGTGTTAATTGGAACCGCTGGCAGAAACAAAGAGCCGGCTGTGAGGAGGAAATAGAAAGGGACGAAATGCTTTTTAGGCGGTGAAGCTCCTCCGGGTTCCACGACCGCCTCTGGATAAAAGGAGGAGAGCTCACCCTCGCCTACGGGCTTCATACGGAGCCGCTCAGGAGCACAGGTGGGGCGTCCGGAAAATGACACGACGGCAGACAGACGCCGTCACGGTGCCACGGGCCCTGCACCCTGGGGAGGAGCCCCGACTGCCAGGGCCACTGCTCCATGTTCTCCAGTGACAAGAGGGAAAGAGCACCGTCTCTGTTCAGACTGATTTTTCTGTCATCCTAAACCTCACCACTTACCTGCTAAACTTAGTGCAGTTTGTTGAAAAGAAAATCAAGGCCGTCAATAAAAATCCCAGCTGGGAATCCAAAGAAAGCCCACAGGAGGGTGTGGCAAGTGCCTAACACTCTCTCTGCGGGCGAGACGTCGAGGGCGTATTTCCTGTTTCTGCCCAGATGTGAGCAGGGAGCACCCACTGCCTGCCGCCCGAGGACGGTGACCCGCGTTCGGATCCAAGAGCAACTGATCATTGATTACCCAAGCAGAACACAACTTGAGAAAACATGAGGCATGGTACCACCACGCTTGAAAAGAAAGCAAACACTGAGATTCTCTTCTCTGACAGATTCCAGAAGATTTATTGCAAAATATCACATAAAGAGTCCACTTGAGGCTTGCGATTATGTCATTTAATTGCTGCGTCTGTGACACAGAAGTCAGGGATCCCGGAGGCGCTGACCTAAGGGGCCACCTGTCTCGGGGGATGTCGTGCAAGGGCGCGGAACAACGGCGGCCCTGTGGATGCACGGGGGGCTGCCTCTGAACAAAGGAGCACTTTCTGGAGACGCGGAGAACTCCTCGGCACAGAAGGGACCTGCTGAGGACAGGCAGCTGCCCTTGCTCGGCGGGAGGGCTCCCTGACCGGAGCGGGGCTGTCCCGCCGGGGTCTGGCCATCCACACACAGGGCAGGACAAAGAGAACTTCCTCCGCATGAAGGCAGAGTCCTGGTTCCTCATCCACGGGATGTAGTCAACCTCTGGCACATTCTAGCAAGCCTCGAAACAGTCACCCTTCAGGAGCACGGATCCATGCTGCCTCCGAACATAACCCTTCCTACACCTCTAGACATTCACTCCAGGAAATTACATGCTTCTGAAACACCAGCAGAAAACCAGCTTTTAGGAGTGACCATTCTCAATTACAGGCCGGCACGAACATGGGGGCTCCGGCAGAACCCCCCCCAAACTCCCCAAATCAGACAGCTCGATACTCAAGGATCACAGTCAGACTGTAACACCGTCACAAGGGGAGCCGCCGGCCTCATTCGGCTCCTTCGATTTAACTTGACTGAACGTCAACGAAAAGTTTGAACTCAGCTCGTCAGTCGCACGGGCCACCCTGCAAGCGCCCAGTGGCCACGTGGGGCCAGCAGCCTGGGCAGCAAGACGGAGGAGGTTCCCGCTGGTGCAGAAGCGCAAACCGCGTTCAAATCCCAGGTCCGCCACCTGCTGACTGTGTGCGGCTCGTGGGGAGACTCTCAGGATTCGGAGGGCGTTTCCTCATCTTGAAACAGGGGTAACAACGGTACCCGAGTCGTGGGCGGCAGGCGGGTGAGCGCGAGATGCTCGTGTGACGCCCTCACAACATGCCCTGCGCAGAGCAAGCGCCTCCTGGCGCGGCCCGTGTCACCGTCACCCCAGCATCGCTCCGTCCCGGCGCTCTGATCGTGGACCATGCAGGCGCTCTTGGCGGTTTCACGGGAGTGGGGGCGTATCTGCAACTGCTCCATCTTCCCCCAAACCTCCCAGCAACAGTGCCGCCGACAAACTTCATTCAGCGGGCGTCTCCTGAAGGCGCCCGGTGGGACCACTCCTGTGCCAGGTACTGTGGTTACAAAACGCGAAGCAGAAAGAGGTGGCCGTTTCAAGGCAGAAGCCCGGCTTTGGGAAGGGGGTGGGACCGACAGATCTTATGTCTCCCACCAGGAAGGAAACCCGCTGGCAGGTGCTGCAGAGAAAGGTCAGAGCTCCGGCGGGGACAAGATGTCCCCCGACCAGGACACCCAGCAGTGGCAGCAGGGACAGGCACGTAGGAGGGGACAGGAGGGCACGGAAACCGTGCGGACAGATCTCAGCATGCCTTCCCGCGTCATCCTTTGTTTCTTCGGTTTAAAAACGTGTTTTTCCTGGTGACAAAAGTTACATATCCTCTGTTCCAGGTCCAGAATGTTCCTTGTTGGCTCCGTCTCTTCATCTCAGGAGTGAGACACCCGAAGGGTTGTGCCCCTGCCCTGGGTCACCCACAAAGCACCACTGAGGTTGGGGCCCAGGGGGAGAAGGCGTCCAAGGGCCTCCGGGGGGGTTGCTGGCACACAGGCTGGAGCTGCTAAAAGCAACACAGAACTCAGGACAGAGGGCACAGGAGGGGAAAGGCTGAGCGCGAGGGGCAGGGAGAACTGAGCGGGCCTGTGCCCAAGCCACCCGTCACTGCTGGGAGTGAATGAGAAGGGCCTGCCTGCCCGCGTGCTATCATCAGGGCCCAACGCTGGAGTGGCTCGAAGTGGACGCCCACGCCACACCCAGGTGCAAACATATACGTATACCACACAACTACACGTGTCTGCATATAAACATACAGACACATGCACAGCACACACCTACACACGCATATGCATATACGTGTCTACATACACACACACACGCATATAAATACCCCAGGCAAATACACACACATCTGTGTATACAGACATACACACATGCACACACACAAAAATACGTGCACATACACAAAGGTATATACATGTGTATACAGGTATGTATCTTGCACGGACATATAAACACATGAACATACGCACACACACATACGTGTACACACACACACACACACACACACACACACACACACACACACACACACAGATACTTCTCCCAAATGCTGCTTACGTGACAAAGAACATGATTATTTAAAAGTTATACTGGTCCCTTCCCTCCATCCTAACACGGGGAATGTATAGACTACAGGTGCTCCAAGGTGTGGTTGCAAAGAACCAAGTCACTTTTTACAGAAGGCAATTTGAAGCTTTAAATAATCTCACTGAAAGAATAAAGTTCTTAATACACAAACTCTTCTTTTGATCTTATGTCATTCCTCTGTAACACGGTGAACGACCAGTCGCGTGGTTTAAGCGATGAATTCTGAAGCTTGACGGCTCATCACAGAAACCGCCCATGACATCCCGGCAGAGGACAAATAAAGCCCTACTTGTGCATGCGTGTGTGACACGCTCTCTCACACGCGTGTGCACAAGGGCAGGACAGACAGAATGATGGACGGACGGGTGTGGCCATCCCAGGCACACTCAGGGCTCCGGTCCCTACTCAGGGCTACACCTGGCCCTTCCCAGGGACATACCCAGAAGCGTGCCCCCCCCCCCCCAATCTGGGCTCCGGGGACGAGCAGGCCCCCTCGGGATGCAGGCCGAGTGTGCTCGCACATCACGTCCTGCCTCTTACAGAGCCCCGCTCTCCTGCGGGGTGAGGAGGTGAGGAAGGAAGGACAGCCACTGAGGCCGGAAGGACCACTCACCACTTTGAGCTCCGGGACAGATCGACTCAATGTCCATTCCTGGCTATTCACAAAGGCATCTGTAAAACAGGAGGTAAAGCAAAGTCAGGTACCACAACTCACTTCAGCGCGGAGTCAAAATGCCCCCAACGTGCCATTTCCCCAGCCAGAACAACACCGAGGATGGTGCAGACCAGGTTCTCATGCTACTCCTGCCCCGTTCCTGCTCCCAAGTCTGCGTCTCCTAAACCATAACGCACGCTCCATCCAAACCCAAGGAGCCTCTAGAACTTGGTCCCTCCCCACCTCGAATGTCCCCGTTGCCCGAGCCCCACAGGACCACACTGTCCGGGGGTGAGTTGAGACCCTCTGATCCTGCTCATTTGTCATCAGGAAGACTGAGGGGGTCCCAGGCTTTCCCAGAACTGCCCCTATAGCTGTCAGTGAACTTCTGGTCTGTTTTTCACTAAGGTAGTCTTGTCTGAAAGCCCACCAACAAAGTCCTGCAGAGAATGACTGGGCTTGGAAAATCCCCATTCGCACAATACAACAGCCATTGACAGTTCGGAAGACCGTGCTGGGGTTTTGGTCCTCCCAAACACAGGACACAGCCAAAACTGTGAGATCCAGTCAAAACTGTACGATACGTCCAAGAGACGAGGGGTCCCCAGCCGCCGTGGGGACTCCACAGAGCCAGTCCCACCCTGGCCAGAACACCGGGGCGGCCATCACGGGTGCAGGTCAGGTGCGCCCACCCACAACAGAGGACACAAAGGACCGGATTCCCCACGCCTCCCGCTCACCATCTCTTGTGGACAAGACCCCACACCACCACGCACACTATGCCCTCGTCAACAGACAGAGTGAGTCACAAGGAGGTGACAGCCGTTCCCACTACGACCAGCTGAGGGCAAACACCTCTCACTTTCTATGTATTTTCTGCAAACTCAGAAACGTTCATCACTCCGTTACGTCCAAGAAATAGTAACGCGATTCACAAAATACCTAAAAGTCCAGCAATGCCACCAGTTTCAAATAAACACGGGTGCCGGGATAGAAGCAGAGGGCATAAGCGTGCAGTGCTGCTGGGGGGTATCACGGAGAAGGTGGAGAAATGTGTCTGAAGGGAGCAAGGTGAACCCGATCCACAGTGACACGAAAACGAGGCGGGTGGCCGCCCAAGAAACCAGCCTCCGCTGGCCCTGCAAAAACGCTTAGGAGGTGGGACGACCCATCACAAAGGACCCTGTGCTCAGGAAAGGACGGGTCAGTGGAGAAGACGGGCGGCCACAAGCAGATGGGGATGCGAGGCTGATGCATGTGCCTCGAATCCTCAGCTGGAAGCTGGAAGTGACCGGTGTTCAACACCGGAGACACTGGACCCCTGGGGACCCGAGTGCCTGGCCGGCAGGCAGAGCGATGGACAGAAGTACATCGGCAGGAACTCAGAAGGAAAGACGTTCGTGAGAACGAAGACCGAGAGCTGCTTCTGACCCCTCCCCCAATGGGGCCAGCACACTGGGGGCTAAATACTGGGGGTGCACCTGAACACCCACTCTTTGGTGAGCCCAGCAGCCCCCAGAGAAAACACAGCCTGCAAACAGATAAACAATGATGGAGCCAGCACAGAGATGACCCCGGGTAGGCACTGGGCAAATGGTAACTAACACCCTCACGAGCGAACAGCATTACTTATCAAGTTGCAGAACACGTCTTTTCTGTCACCGACTGCTCTTTTTGAAAAAAATGGGGATGTGGCCTTACGGATCTACAGGGTGACCTCAATGATCCAGGGGAGTCAATGACAGTGACGCTCCCAACATGAACCGCACACTCAAAAGAGCGTCCCAGCGAGTCCCCCTGTCCCTGTCACTTGTAACAAACCCAAAGCTGGCTTAGGTAGATTTAGATATATCCACATAATGGAATACTAAGTGGCTGGGAAAACGAAGCGTCAACACGCAGAAATGCAACCGTTCCCAGCGTAAGGGGATACTACACGTGGAAAATACATACACAGGCTTGTTCGAGAATATTTCCGGTCAACAGTTCCTGACTGAAGGTTTGGGAACCGGGTGGCTTGGGGGCAGGGGCAATGAGGAGAGTCTTTTCACTGTTACCTCTCAGAACCCTGTTAAACTTTATCCCATCTGGCACGTAAAAAATACATACAACATAGTTTTTAATACGAACCACAACAATGAAGCAACAGGCATAAAATGAGAATTGAAAGGAGCGTGATTCACGAACAAACTGCTGATTCTAAATCAGCCACCACCTAAGACTGTGTTCATCACAACAAATATATTAAATAGGCATTAGACGGGGGTGCCTGGGTGGCTCGGCTGGTTAAGCGTCCAACTCTTGATTTCGGCTCAGGTCCTGATTGCACGGTTCGTGAGTTCAAGCCCCAAATTGGGCTCTGTGCTGGCAGTGTGGAAGCTACTTGGGATTCTCCCTCTCCCTCTCTCTCTGCCTCTCCCTGGCTCATTCTCTCTCCCTCTCAAAAGAAACAAACTTAAAAACAAACCCAAAAAAAACAAAAAACAAAAAACCCTGATCGCTGGGCAGAACAGAATGCTGCCTCAGGCAAGGCTAAATGAAAAATAACTAAAGATTTCAAAGATGGACATCCCAGGAGAAGCCTTTATCCTTCTCCTCCGTCGAGACCTTTCTGAGGGCTGGAGGCTGTGGCCCCTGCCTGGGGGAGCTGGTCCGTCTCATGGTGAGCGGGCCAAGACCAGGCCGGCTGCCCGATTTCAAGTTCCCAGGGCAGTGACACTAGAAGAATGAACATGCACTGGGGGCACGAGAGAGAGAGAGAGAGAGAGAGAGAGAGAGAGAGTTTTCAAACCACTAGAATCAAAAGTCATTTAAGCTGCATCTCATTTTCAGAAGAGACCACTCTGTGCCCCACTCAATTCCCCCCTCTTGGATAGACAGGACTAAGAAAATGCATTCTCATACGCCGGCTTAAATGCTACGCAATTTGAATTTAAAATAAAGCACAGCGGTCACCCCCGATGGACGGCTCTCAGCCTGTGGGCAACACTGGGGCTCCCTCAGCCACCGTCTCTATGGGGCAGAAAGGCCCCAGCTGTTTGGTGCCGTGGGGGATCCCAACACAGTCGAAGAACTGAAGGAAAAGAAGACATGAAAGCATTTCTCCCCATTAACAAGGCACCACTTCAAATTACGGGACTTAAACTTAAGTCATAATATTAAAAAGAAAACTCTCAAAGAACTCCAAGATTAGGGACCATGAAGTAATAAGGAACTTTTATTTGGAGTAAAACACTGTTAGCTTCTCTGGAACAGAATTCTGAAGGCAGACATACGAGGACACAGCCCTAGAGGGGGATGGTTAATGCAGAGTCACAGGGGTGGGGTCGGTAGTTACATGAAGAGGCAGACAACCAGTTTCTCAACATCAGGGGGAAACGATGTTTTCAATTAAACAGAAATTCTGAGTTGATAACCAAAATATGTGAAACTGAAGGAAAACACCCCAAATGCCCGCTGTCAAAGTGGCACAGATCCCCAGGCCATACCCATGGCGGATTACTGTTTTGGTGTTCCAGAAAGTTCTAAACAACTACAGGTGCGTGCCAGCAGAGTTCCTTCCCAACTTAACTTCGTGTTAAGACATAGCAAGTCTGATACACCTCAGACTGTGAGGATGCTTGGTAACCACAGGAATACACTGGGTCAGGGTCATCACCACGATGCCGAGCGGAGAGGCCGCCCCAGCAGCACTGCCGAAGGTGAGGTCCCGGAGGTTCGGAGAATTCGCGCTCACGAGAAAGGTGCGATTCAAAGTACCTGGTCAATTTCAGGGTATCTTTAAGCAGGGTTTTTTTGTGGCTTTGGCTTACGTGTATTTTTTACAGTCGACTTTCCTTCATTTTAATCATCTTTTTAAATATGCAAGGTCTGAGCCGGGACTGTCATTCCACGTTGGGCGAGGCGGCCTGAGACAGGAGCGTATTTATACTACAGTGCTTTATTCCCGTCTGGGTCCCCCGCACGCCCGAGGGGACAGGCACTCACACACGTGGCACGGACGTGGACGAGACACCGATGGAGGGCGGCTTCAGGGTCACAGCGGAAAGGCTGCCCGCACTCCTGCTAATAATAGGTACATTCACCGTCTGCTTCCAGCAGGTGCCACACGGAGAAGGACCGCTCGGCACCTGCACAGGGGCCACCAGGCCGCCACCAGCCCTGCTCAGCACCCCCTAAGCTCCTTTCCTTCCCTCTGAGGGGTGAGCGTGACTCGGGACTTCCTAGCACTGAGTCCATGCTGCCAGTGGTGCGGAGGAACGCGGTCACACAAACACAGAGGGGAAAGGCCCTGCCCCCTGCCCTCCAGGCAGGTCTCCCCCCTCTCAGGAAGGGGCGCACCCCGCACCGGTGTCCATCTGGCTTTCTCCTCCCGAGGTGCAGGGCCGGCTGACCGGGTCTGATCTGCAGGCCGCGAGCAAGACGAGGGCCTTCCCACGAGTCCAAGAACAGCTCAGACAACTTGGAAATGCAAACAGAAGCCTGCATCCACGTGCCAGAGAAAGGAGCCTCCAGGTGGGAGCTGCCCTGCTCTGCTGGCTCCAGTACCTGCCTGCCTCCACGCCCCTCACCACACCCCTGCAGGACACAACCGCCTGCGTCCTGCTAGGCTCTGAAACACACAGACTGGACCCTCTGCAGAGGACACACACACAGACCGGGACCCTCGGTGGGTCTCAGGAAAGCATCTTCCGCGCGTGCCCCCAGACATCCCAAAGTCCTGCCTTGTTCCTTAAGAGACCCCGCTACGGAAGACGCGCAGCTGATCTCAGAGAAAAGCTCCTCTCCCCAGAGTCCAAGCTGCTTTTCTTTAGCATAAGAGACTCTTAAAAACTGAGAACAAACTGAGGGTTGATGGGGGGTGGGAGGGAGGGGAGGGTGGGTGATGGGCATTGAGGAGGGCACCTTTTGGGATGAGCACTGGGTGTTGTATGGAAACCAATTTGACAATAAATTTCATATATTGAAAAAAAAAATTTTTTTTACATTTATTTATTTTTGAGGGACAGAGCACAAG